AGTTACTGGATCTTCAGCAGCCTTTTTCTTTCCCCTTACGTTTTACCGCGTCTTTTGTACTTCGTGTTCTTCAGTAACCAACTAAAAGGCTTCTCCCTTATCTTCATTCTGTGACTTTTGACCCCTGATGGTCCTGTCACACTTCAGAAAAAATAAATAAGCAAATAAACATTTTGATGGTTTTCTCCTCAGATCTTGCTACTGCTCTGAACTGAACTGTCACAGACAAAAAAAATCTCATCACTTCTTCCTTAAACATTTCTTTTTGGAGGCCCTTTCTGGTTGTTAAGTTCCTTGCTTCATTAATCCCAAATTTGGTCTCATTAAAATGATTCTAGGGCTAGGGGTGTAGCTCAGTGGTAGAGCACTCACCTACCATGTGCACGGCCCTGGCTTCCATCCCCAGCACCACACATAAAAAGCAGGCCCTGACATCCAGGAGCTGTCTTGGTGCTCCTAAGAAGGACTTGGTGTTCCCTGTTGAACACGAATAGGTTCAGAGATCACTAACATCAGACACAGCTGCTCTGTAAACCTGATGGATCAATACAAAACCAAGACTAATAATAGACATTGTCCAAATCACAGACGTGAGCAAACATCACCCTGTCCTGGCTCATATGAGTGAGTGTTGCATGTTTATCACTCCATTCTCACCATCTAGATAAGAATTAAAGCCAGGCACGGTGTCTTAAACCTGTAATCCCAGCACTCAGGAGGCTGAGGCAGGAGGATTACAAATTCAAGGCCAGCCCAAACCATACAGCAAGTTCCAAACCAGCCTGACCTACAAGTGAGACCCTGACTCAAAAACAAACAAACAAGGGCTGGAAGAGTGGCTCAAGTGGTAGCACACCTGCCTAGCAAGCTCAAGGCCACGAGTTCAAATGCCACCAAGAAAGGAATGAAAATACCCAGTCATAGAATTACCCCTACTTCCTGACAGCATCCAGTCCTTGGACTTTTCCCTCAGATTACCCAATGCAAGGCCAAATCCTATAGCCAGCCCATTCTAAAACCCTGTCATTGCCACGTCACTTGGTTCCCCATGATTCATGTTCTCCTACCTCATTTCGAGGAGTCATTGAACCCAGATTGGAGGTGATCCTTGAGTGAAGGGTTCATATCATAATAAAATATCCAGGACTTGCCCTCAGAGAGCTTGTGACATAGCGGGAGTGGCAAACAGTTCTCAGTAAGTGTGGTGAGCTGTGTAATAGACTGTACACAGGATCTTGTAAGAGCCATTGGTGGGAGAGCCAGGTGGGTCACTGAAGACTTCCTGGTGGAAGGGACACATGGCTGAGCCTTGGGGAGTGGTTAGCCCAGGTATTAGTTAGGTTAGGGGTTGGAGGAAAGGCAGAGGGAATAGCAAGTTCAAAGGCAAGAAGCAAATATGTAGTTAGGACATGACAGAGGTCAAAAAGGTCGGCCAGGAACTCTGAAGGGCCTTGGATTCTCTTAGGTGGATGAGACAGCAGAATGACTAGATCGTGCACTAGGAAGGTTCAAGCAGGAACCGACGCCAGTGGCTCACACCTGTAATCCCAGCTACTCAGGAGGCACTGATCAGGAGGATCATGGTTCAAAACCAGCCAGGCAGAAAGTTCATAAGTCCCTATCTTGAAAACACCCTTCATCAAAAAAGGGGCTTGGCTGGTGGAGTGGCTCAAAGTGTGGGCCCTGAGTTCAAGCCCCAGCACCACCAAAAAAAAAAAAAAAGAAAAAGAAAGATTCAATAGCCACATTCTGTGACAGAAGTGAACAAAGCAACCAAGTTTGCCTCCAGATGCATCCCTTCTGTAGGGCTGCCAAAAAAGACATAACCTGAATTAACCATGAGGGGAAAAAAATCAAGAAATCTCAAATTAAGTAAGAGACAGTCTGCCTTTTGAACTCCAAAAATGTCAATGTCGTGAAACAAAGAAAGGCTGAGGAACTGTTTCAGATTAAAGGATTTTAGACGCTGCTCAATGCAACACTTTGTCCTGGACTGGGTTCTGGGATGAAATGCTGTCTTCCCTTTCATTACGAAGGACAGTAGGGGCAACTGGCGAAATTCCATGAGCTAATACTCTAGCAATTTCACTGCCTAATTTGGGTTATGTAACATCCTTGTTTTCAGCAAATGTACACTGAAGTATTTACAGGTAAAGGAGCATCATATCGGAAACCTACTCTCTCTCAAACTGTTCCGAAAAATAAATAGACATGTAAGTGAAAGAGTGAAGGCTAAGGGCAGTAGGCGTGGCTCAAGTGGTACAGGGCCTGCCTGCCAAGGGTGAGCCCTGGGTTCAAACCCCAGTAATGCCAAAAAAGAAAAGAATGTTTAAAAAAAAAAAGTGAAGGCTAGCCAGGCGCTATGGCACACATGTATAGTCTAGCATTTGAGAGACTGAGGTGGGAGGATCACTTGAGCCCCAGGATGGAGGAGGGAGGGAGGGACAGAGAGAGAAAGACACAGAAACAGAGAGAGACAGAGAGAGAGAGAGAATAGAGCAAATGTGGGAAACTGTTAGCATTTGAGGAATTCAGGTGATCCAGGTAAAGGGTGATCATAGATTCTTTGTATTATTTTTACAACTTTTCTGTAAAACCAAAGCTTTTTCTAAATACAGTTGTTGCTCCCTGAGGGTGGGGAAACAGATACGTACATACCACCTGTACACGTCAGCCCTGTGGTGGGACTTCCAAAGCTGAAGGTGAGCAAGACACCCCCTGTGCCCTGCAGGACTCCCAGTCTAGAGGGTCATTTTTGGCAGCAGATCCAAAAGGGTGACATAGGGCCTCCAGAGAGAGAAATGGGGAGGGAGAGCATGTCAACAGTGTCAGAGGACATGAAAGGGACACTTCTGTAATTTGGTGACTTCTATATTCTGGTGAACTTGAGTTCATTTAGGGGACAAGAAAAGTGAGATGAGCTGTTCTGACTTCTTGGATAGTTCGTTGGTGGCACCATGGCCGAATTCACCAAAATAAAGCAGGAAGTGTGTAGAGGACAGATGATCGATTTGGGACAGCTCATTGGGGCCGCTGACAGAGGTTGACCAATGGTCTCCTAGCTTTGGGAGAGATCTGAGCTAAAATACAGGACAGGGAAGGAGTCATCAGCATTGAGGAGGCAATACTACTTTTTTGGTGGCACTGGAATTTGAACTTGGGGCCTCACACTTGCTAGGAAGGTGCTCTTACCACTTGAGGACGACATGGAACAGGAAGAGACAGATTTCTTAGAAAGCCTAGCAGAAGTCTAGAGATCCCCAATATGTGGGGATCGCAATCCCACTCCGGCTTCACCCAAGCGGGGTTCTTCCAGTTCTTTTTTTTGGCAGTACTGGGGTTTGAACTCAGATAGGCCTGTGCTCTACCACTTGAGCCACACCCATGTCCTTCAAGTTCTTTTGTTTCCATGGGTGGTTTGGGATATTTGCTAGATTTTGCTCCAGCTGGTGTGGCTCTGAAAGTCTCTTCAACTTGGTGGACTTGTGTTTTCCCATCTGTGAATGGAGAGTAAGTGCCTCAAGTACCTCCCAGGGGAAGGGAAATACTGGAGGCTGTTAGTGCTGGTGTTTCTAAGTCACTGTCCTTGAACTGTGAGCTGAGGGCTGGGGGGTGTGGCTCAATGCTAGAGCAATTGCCTAGCATGCTGGAGGCCTTGGGTTCTACCCTGGCACCACCAGAAAAAAAAAAAAAAACCTTTGAGCTGAATTTGCTCTGCCCCCAGGTATTTTCCTTCCTGCCCCCAGATATTTTGTGCTTTTGATGTTGGTTTCTAGCCCTTCCTCCTTAGTGAATTAAAAGATTAGCATGCCAGATTAATGGCATTTTGAGTTTACTAAGGGATTTTGGGGTAGTCCAGATGGCAAGGAATTGGGTCCTAGATTGAGAGGGACAAATAATGAGGCAATGAAGACCTTGGATTCAATGTGTACAATAAAATGTACAAATCTCAAGTGTACCACTGGATTTTTTTCTATCCTGAATCTTGCCTCAGCCTTCTGAGTAGCTGGGATTACAGGCATATACCATCACATTCAGTTCACTGGATAATTTCTGACAGTATATACACCAGTGCAACTCAGGCCTGTAACTGCATCTTGAATATTCTTAGTGATTCACCCCAGAAGGTCCCCTTACTTCCTTGGGCAGTTAATCCCTGCCTGCATCCCCTAGGGCAGAGATCATTCTGTTTACCTCTGTTTACTCTTACCTTTCTTCTCCTCCCTCTGCCCCTTCCCCGGCCAGCATGCACAAGGCCCTGGGTTCAATCTGTAGCACAGCAAGAAAAAAAAATTAAGTTAAATAGTCTCTTAAATTTACAGGTCATTTCCAAAAATAATGGCTGGTCAGGAGGCCACACCAGGAATCCATTTAGGCTCTCAATGGGAATTTAAGAAACCGGGTGCTGCTTTAGGATCAATAATTCCACGTGATTTTAAAAACAGATCAGATAAAAGCCGTTTCTCTTCCCCTCCAAAAACGTTTTGTAAGAATTGGCCTGCAGCCAGCAGGGTCTTCCCAACCAGAGAGAGGGAGGATTTGTTTAACCGCTTTGTTCTTTCCGCTTTAACCTGTTTGTATTTAACCAGAGCCCAGTCCCAATCTGTTAGGCATTTTAAGAACTTTTTTTGTTTATTTAAGTAAGAGATAAACTTTAGATATCCGTCCAAACTCCAAAGCTTAGGTTCACTCTGCCCCAAGCCTCCCCCACTTCCCCCCGCCGCCCCGTCTGGAGAGGCTTTCCGAGGTGATCCCCGCTGCGGGGGACCAGGGGTAGGCAGCAAGCTGGGTGGCCGGCCGGTCCCCGCCGGTTCCCACGCCTGCGGCCATCCGCCTGACTAGCCGCTGGATTGCAGGCGGAGTTTCCCCTCCCCGTCCCCTGCCTGAACTTCGAGCCGCCTGAGAAGTCACCCGCCTGGCGAGTGCCCAGGCCGGCCTCCCCGCCCCCTCTGCGGAGAAGAAAGGCCCAGGCGACAGTGGAGCGACACGCGCTCGGCCCAGTCTCTCAACCAGGGGCGGCCAGAAGGAAACAGACTGCCCACCCAGGCGCCCGCAGCCCAAGCCCGCACCAGGGACAAGGCGGGCTCAGCCTTCAGCTTCCCAGTGGCTCGCCATCGCCATCGTTGTCTCTGTACCCCGGTCCACAGCGGAGCTACCAGACTGTGCGAAGATCCCTCTCTGCCACAGGTACCCCAAGTGCAGCGGGGGCGGGGGCCTCACATTGGTCCCTGCCCCCACCTCCACTCCCAGCCAAGAGCCAAGAGCCCGGGCGCAATAGGACATTTGGCAGCCCAGGGCTTGCACGACAGAGACAGAGTATGGGGTTAAAAGCCACTATTGCAAAAGCCATGTGTCTGATCTTGGGTCTTATCTAAGATTGATAGCATAAAGGCCTTTGGAGTCTGAGCCAATTTTTAACAACCAATGAACATTCCAGATGCTGGAATGCTGGCAGGTCAGTATTTGAAACAGGTTTGAGGCCTGTGTATCCAAAAACGAAAAAATGTTTGCTGGGGGCGTGACTCAATGGTGGAGCGCATGCCCAGCAAGCACAAGGCTCTGAGTTCAAACCCCCTCCCCAGTATTACAAACAAGCAAAAAACATTCCAAAAAAGAAAGGTAGTTTATTGAAGGCAAGATTAAATCGAAGCTCATTTTCCTTCCCACCCCTCCCTTCTATTCATATATCCACCCATGTGTGAGACCAGTTAGTTCAAAGCGGAGAGACGCTGGAAGGTGCAGAAAATTCCTACCAACACTGCAAACCCACATACAAGGGCAGAGTTGGGGACAAAGGGAAGCTCTTGAAAGTTGCCCAAAATTCTTATCTGATCATTTTTTTTCTTTTCTAATAATTTGTCCTTTTCTTCTCCAAGTTCACTGGTCACAATCTCCGGCCTAAAGTCCCAGCATAGAATGTTCCTTCCTTGAGAATTCAAGACTCCTTGCCAAACTTGGCACCGTGCCTCGGTAGGAAGCAAGCCATAGCTGAGGGGCTGCTGGTGCTCCACCGGTGAGGTAGAGTGTAGCTGGGTAGCAGGGCGCTCTCAAGTTCCTGGGCCAAAGAAAAAAAAGTCCCAGCACCAAAGAAAAAGAGAACAGGTAAAATGTCCTTTTTCTCTACCCGTTCCACTGTCTGCATTTGAAAGTGGATGTTAATTGACTTGGGGGACAGTGCTGGGGATGGAACCCAGGGCCTAGGCAAGAATTCTGCCACCAAGACACACCCCCAGCCACTGGAAGTTAGTTTTAATTCATTGTATTATCTCTGGTCAACATAGTTGTAAACATGAAGATCAGGAAGACCTTGGCCTCCAAGGCGATCGATATCAACAGATGACAAGGGAGGACAGCAGTAGACAGTGACCTGCAGACACACCAGAGGGGCCACTAATAAGGGAGCTGCCCGCCCCCTGACCCCCCTTGGGGCCAGGGTGCTGGCTTTAAAGAGAGGCCTTGCACTGTCTGAACAACCGGCTGTCTGAGTGTCACTAGAGCCAGTGGATGTCAGAGCGTCACTTTCTTCTTTTTTAAAGATAGCTTGAAAAAACCTCACTGGTAAGTTGACTGATGCTAGCTCGGGTTATCTCCTACCAGCCTTCCTCCTTCTAAATGTCTTCTCCTGTCACATTTGGCCCTTGCTCTGACTTTGAGAGAGTATAAGCAGGCTTTCCAGTTCTGGACAAACAGGCTCACCTCAAGGAGATTACAGGTTCAGTTCCAGACCACCGTGGTAAAAGCAAATTTCGAAATAAGGCCAGGCATATAGGTTTTTTTTTTTCTCTCTAGTGCATATAGAAGTTAATTTGCATTATGCAGTAATCTATTAAGCATTTAGTCATATTATACACCTAACACAATATACATACCTTAAATTTAAAACACTCTTTTTTTAGTAGTAGTGGGATTTGAACTCAGGTCCTCATGCCTGCTAGGCAGGCACTCTACCACTTCAGCCACTCCACCAGCTTAAAACACTCTTGCTTAAAAAATGACAAAGATTGCCTGAACTGTTGGAAAAATGGTTCAGATAGATTTGCTTGACCCAGGGTTGGCATAAACCTTCAATTTGTCAAAACTGCAAAATCTGCGCAGTGCCATAAAATTGGGAATTTTAGCAGGGTTTTACAGCAGGTGTTGGGCTGAATTTGCTGCGTGCAATTGCGTTTCAGTTGATTTCTGTTGTCCTCAGTAGGTCTCCCAGTGACAATGTCTTCCATTAAGATTGAGTGTGTTTTGCCCGAGAAGTGTCGCTGTGGAGAGTCTCCAGTGTGGGAGGAAGCATCCAACTCTCTAGTCTTCGTAGACATTCCCACCAAGAAGGTTTGCCGGTGGGACTCGCTCACTAAGGCAGTGCAGCGAGTGATCTTGGGTAAGGACGAAGTGTTGTTGTTTTGCAGTGCTGGGGTGGAACCCAGGGCCCCCTGCATGCTAGACAAGCGCTCTACCACTGAGCGGTGTCCCCAGTGCCCCATTTCTCTTTTGCTATCTAGATGCTACAGTGTCTAGCTTTCCTGAACACCCGTCAGGAAAAGTTTCACCATTGAAACTTGAAGGCCTGGTTAGTGGCTCAGCAAAGGCCTTCCACTTTGGATCAGGCCAAGAGCTTAATTTTCAAAAAAAAAAAACATGCAAACTAGGTGCACCCCTTCTTTGAATGTGATGAGAAGAGCTTTAGACTTCAAAGGCATCTCCCAGGGCTGTCTTTGCTGACTGTAGGGTTCCTGATGGAATTTCATGTACATTTCCATGTGATTCCCCTCAGGGTTCTGTGCTTTCCAGAGAAGGAGTTTATCACCTTCTATGGCCCAAAGGCGACAGGCTAATGTGATTATCAGTAGACAAGCAAGTTCTTGTTTTCACTGTGTTCCTCAGAAGAAATTCCAGGGATTCCTGGTATTTCATCCCATGAATTCAATTAGAAACATCAAAACTTTTTTTGGTGCTTGGGATTGAACCCAGGGCCTTGCATATGTCACTAAGCTACATCCCCAGCCTGAGAACAGGTTTTTTTTGAAGTGGGAGTAGAGTTTGAACCCAGGGCTCCACACTTGGGAACAGCTTTTTAATTCGTGTAGAATTATGACTGCCGCTAGAAGCAAAGTGACTGTGACCTCTATGGGCATGCCAGAGGCCGTTAGTTGCTGGGTTCCATCCCCAGCATCACAAAAATGTATATATTGTATTGGAAGAAGAGAGAGATGTGACAAAAATCACAGTTTGAGTGAATGTCCTAGAGGTGAGACAAACTGAGCATCACTTGCTCTGTCCTGACTGTCCTGGTGGCCCTGAATTAGAAACCCATCCCCTGAACAGTGTGCGGTGCCTGCCCCTGTGTATTGTGGCTGCTGCGAGGTGTTTGGGGCTTGGGTTAGGGTTTTGCGGTGCTGGGGGTGGAACCCAGAGCCTTGCACATGCTAGGTAGGCGCTGCATCACCCCAGCCCCAGCTGCTGTAGTCAGCTTCTCTCACGAGCCTGAGAGGAGTGGGGTCATACTTGTCTTTGTAACTTCGCTGCCCAGAGCAGCACAGAGAGTTCACGCTCGCAAACACGGTCCACTATGCACGCACCCTTCTGAGCTCAGGCCTTGCACTTGGTAGATGGGCGCCCTCGCACTTGAGCCACACCAGCAGCCCAGCTTGCTGCCTTCTAACTGTTCCTTTTGCCTCTCCAGATGCCCCAGTCAGCTCTGTGGCCCTTCGCAAGTCAGGAGGCTATGTCGCCACCATTGGAACAAAGTTCTGTGCTTTGAACTGGGAAGATCAATCAGTAGTTGTCCTGGCCACTGTGGATAAAGACAAGAAAAACAACCGATTCAATGACGGGAAGGTGGACCCCGCTGGCAGATACTTCGCTGGTATGATCTCTCTTTAGCCCCTTTGCTGACTTTTGGAGGTACAGTATGACCTGGAAAGTTCTCACAGCTGTAGTGGTCAAAGTGTCATTCAAAAGGGGGTCTTGGGTTCTTTGTGTGCGTGCGTGGGTGCGTGGGGTGGGAGGGTGGTGTGGTGTTGGGGATGGAACCCAGGGCCTTACTCGTGCTAGACAAGTGCTGTACCACTGAGCCACACTCCCAGCCCTCTTATTGCCTGAGTAACTTGGATCACTAAAAAGAAAATCCTGTGAATACTCCTTTCAGTTTCTGCCTCTTGCAGAGACTGAAATCTGTATAGTGTTTTTGTGGTTTAAATGAGTCTTAAATACAAAGGATTTGTTGTTTCTTTTTTGTGGTGCTGGGGGTTGAACCCAGGGCCTCATGCATGCTAAGCAAGCTCTCTACCATAAACTGGAAATAATTTCAAATTTACAGAAAGGAAAGTAAGACTAACACAACCAACTTCTCCATACCCCTTACCTAGAGTCACCTGTTGGCAACATTTTACTCCCCTTGTGGTAATATTTTATATATATATATATATATATATATATATAAATTGTGTCCCCAGAATCATTGGGGATACATACATATAATGTGGCTTTACCCCCAAAGTACTTCAGTGTGAGTGTCCCAAGGAAAATGATGCTTCTTACATGTCCCAGTTATGTCAGTTGACCAAAGTCATGTTCTTTATAGAATTTTCCCCTCCCATAAAGGATCCGGTCTAGGATCACGTGTTGCATTTACTTGCCTTGTTTTTAAATCATCTTAATCTGGAACATTTCCGTAGCCTTTCTTTGTTTTTTATGACATTGCCATTTATTAAAGGACACATTCTCTCCCAACCCCCCTCCTTTATAATAGAACATTCTTCATTTTGTAATTGTCTGATGCTTCCTTGTGATTAGCTTGGAGTTATACACTCTTGGCTGAAATACTGTGTAGGTGATGTTCTGTCCTTCCCGGAGTAGCCTATCTGGAGGTACACGATGTCCACTTGCCCTTCATAGCTGATGTTAATTACAGCCACCCGGTTAAGTTCCTGTCAGATTTATCTACTGCACAGTGACTGTATTTTTGAGGAGAGGGTTGTTTTGCTTTGTTTTGTTTTGTTTGAGATAGGGTTTTGCTACGTAGCCCAGACTGGCCTTGAACTCACAATCCCCCTACCTCTGCCTGTTGAGTGCTTGGATTACAGATGTGAGCTAGCAAGCCTGGCTGTGTACAGCTTTAAAAGAATTTGAACTAAGGCTGGGATATAGCTCAGTGTTAGAGCACTTGTCTAGCATATGTGAGGCCCTGGGTTTGATCCCCAGCACCAAAAATGCAAAAAGAATTTGAACGATAATTACCATTAGGTAATGCGTTTCACACGAATTTCTCACCTCCCTCCCATCATAACAACCCTGTAAGTTAGCCAAAGTTAATTCTCCATCCCTGTTATTTCTTCCTCCCCAAACTGACCCCTCACGTTGTTGGCCATGCCTTTCTGGCTCCATTCACTGTCACCAGGTGAAATCTGAGCAGCTGGCTGTAGATTGTTTCCCATCTTCCTGGACTTTACTACACAACCGCAGATAACATCCGGGACAGTGGATAAGAATCCACTGGAGGGCTGGCGAATTGGCTGAAATGGTAGAGCACCTGCCTAGCAATCCTGAGGCCTTGAGTTCAAATCCCAGTGCCACCAAAAGGGGTAGGGAAGGAGAAAGGACTTGGAAGTCCTTCTGCCAGTAATTTCTTCAAGATAAAGAGTTATGAACATTGGTGCTGCATGTCTCTAATCCCAGCACTGGGGAGGCTGAAGCAGGAGGATAGTGAGTTCAAGGTCAGCTTGGGGTTTCAGACCAGCATGAGCTATACAACAAAACTCTATCTTTAAAAAACAGAATCATGGGCTGGTGAAATGGCTCAAGCAGTAAGAGTGTCTGCCTGCAAGTGTGAGGCCCTGAGTTCAAACCCCAGTGCCACCAAAAAAATTAATAAATAAATAAAAAGAATTATGATTGGATAGTTTACCTCCTGATGAAATTGATTTTTCTCTCTCCCTTATGGCTAGAAGTTTACAGTTCTGTGGCACTTTGTGAAACAAAAATAAACATTTCTTCTGAGGCTTTAGTTTTTAACTAGAGTGTCAGGACCATTAGTAGGCTCCTTAAAATTACAGATGTCAGGGCTGGCGGAGTGGCTCAAGCAGTAGAGCACCTGCCTAGCAAGCACAGAGCACTGAGTTCAAACCCCAGTACCACCAAAAAAAATTGTAGGCGTTATCATGGGTGGACCTTTTAGTAGTATAGATCTACTAGAAGTCCCTGAGAACCCTTTTCTAGAGAGATCATAGCTCTCAGCAGGTGCTCAGAGATGTCCACAGCCCAGAAAAGGGAGGAGCCATCTGCTGGTATAAAGGAGTTTCTGGGTGGTTGTAGCCTCGAGGTAGCCCTGCACGCATCCTTCCGAGCTGTCTGAGCTCACTAGTACTTAGTGAGGCACAGCCCAGGACTCTGGCTAATTCTCTCTCAACAGAGAGGAACCCTTTCACGTGTTCTCCCATCTCCTTCTGTGAGGCAGCTAATGGGAAGAATATTCATGAAACATCTGTCCTGTAGCAGGAAACTACCAAGTGATGGAGTGATCGTCCTTCTCCCCTGCGAGGGAGGCTCTACCCTGTCTCACTCTCTGGGCTTTCCGTTTGTAGTCCATCTTCCTCCTCTAACTTGCTCTTCTTTTGCATGGAGTGACATGTAGATGAACTTTCCACGTTAGTCAGAATACAGACACAACCAGCTCTGTGCCCTGAGATCGCACTCAAGGCCATCTAAGTGAATGACTTCAGTGACCGAATTATATTCCATATGCACTTGAGAAGAATGTGTATTTTCTTGCTGGATGGAATGTTCTATAAAAATCCATTAGACTCAATTGTTGAGTGTTCAGTTCTGTATCTATGCCGATTTTCCGTCTACTTGTATCCATGATGGAGAGAAAGATGTCGACAGTCTCCAACTAAAATTCTGAATTTTTCTATTTCTTCTTTCCGTTTCAACAGCTGTTGCCTCATGTATTTTGTTCACATTTAAGATTGCTATGCATGCTTAGTGAATTGCCTGTTTTCTTTTTTTTTTTAACACCAAGGAAATTTTTATTAAAGTATAGATTATCAGTTATTTAAAAAGTACTTGGGAAAAGCATCATACGACTGACTTTCTAAACTCAATACTTTTTATTTTTTATTATCATATTATCGTTGTGCTGGGGGTACATTGTGACATTTACAAAAGTTCTTACAATGTATCACAGTTGAATTCACCCACCCCCCATCATTCTCCTTTATCTGCCCCTCCCCCATTCCTGGAACAGTTTCAACAGGTCTCATTTTTCCATTTTGATACATGACTACATAGCATTTCTACCATATTCACCTTCCTACACCCTTTCCTTATATCCCCCCTCCCACTTGTACCAACCCCCAGACAGGACCTGTTTTATCTTCCTGTTCTCTGTTTTTGAAAAAAAAGACATTTTTGTTTGTTTAAGATCAAATATTTTTGAAATACAAAACAATGATCACTATCCCCACAAGTCAGCTTATTGACACAAATTATTTTTTCAGTTGGTCTACAGCTTTTTTTCTCTCAATTTTATCTTACTGAATTTTTCAATTTTATTCTATATCAGAACTTTTTTGTGATGTGTTTACTTCTTAAGGTAGTATATAATTCTTTCTTGGAATTAATGTTAGCAATTATAGAATCCTTCTCTAAGTCACAAGAATTCAAGATAGTTGCTGCTGTGGAAATACATACCATTTGAGGTTATCTACACTAAGACCCACCCACATGGTTAAAAGACAGCAAACTGCCAGGCGCTGGTGGCTCAGACCTATAAATCCTAGCTACTCAGGAGGCAGAGATCAGAAGGATTGCAGTGAAAGTCAGCCCAAGGAAATAGTAATTAATTAATTATTTATTTTACTTGTTTTTCCTTTTTGGCAGTACTGGGGTTTGAACTCAGGGCTTAATACTTGCTAGGCAGACACTCTGCTGCTTGAGCCACACCTCCAGCTAATTAATTATTTTAAAAGGCAACAAACTAATGACAAACTATGGGGTTGGCAAGCAGGAAGATTAAAAAAAGACAGTGTTACCTTTTTTAAAAATTTTTTTTGGCAGTACTGGGATTTGACCTCAGGGCCTTGTGCTTGCTAGGCAAGCGCTCTACCACTTGAGCCACTACACCAGCCAATGTTATTTTTTATGTCAGACCTGCTAAATAAAGACTCCCTTGTTTACTTTAGTACTCCTGGTGGAAAAGCAGTTTCTGCCACACCACAGGTGGCTGTATAGTTGTCCGTTTTATATTTTCCTTTCCTAAAGAATGACAAACTTTACCAATTACTTGCTCAACCAAATAAATAGATAACTTTAAACTACCACATATTTGAACTGTTTGAAATAAATTATTCTCTTAATTGGTGCAGTCCTGTGTCTGGAATGCTGACTGCCTGTAAGGCACCTGGCTGTCTTCTATCCCCAGTCAGCTATGAAGGTGGACCTTCACGAACTCTGTACCAAATGAACTTTGTCCCTGAATGTCCCCCACATGTAATGTACGAGGTTTCTTTCAAGCATTTTGATTTGACTTTCATTTTCAGCGATTTGATTACAGTGTGTCTGCACATGGGTTTCTCCTGCTTTGGAGTCAATCAGCTTCTCGAATCTGCTGAAAAGTTTTATGCTTTTCACCAAGCTTGGAGAATTTTGAGCCATGTAATCGTCAAAATTTTTGGTCCCTGCACTCTTTCGTCCCCTTTAGGAATCCAAGGATGCATTCCCCTTTTGTGGTTGTCCCCTGGATCCCTGAGGCTCTGAGCCTTTGCCTTCTGATCTTTTTTCTCTCTGCTGTTCCTTGATTGCATAATTTCAATTAATTGAACATCCGGTACACTGACTCTTTTGTCCGTTGATATCTGCTATCGAGTTGATCCAGTGAGTTCTAAATTTTTTATTCGGTTAATCTTTTACTTCTTTACTGCTATTTTCTCTTTTGAGTTTTGTTTCAAGACTGTTTATAATTATTTGAGGGCTTTGAAAAGTAAGTATGAGCAGGCAGCTCAGAACAGAACAGCAGAACTGGAAGTGCCACCAAAATAGTAGTGGCTTCTCTGTGTTCTTCTCCAATAGCTCTGAGCCTGAACTCAATACAGCTTGAAGTCTGGAAGTGGCCATTGTGATGTAGAGAGATCCAAGATTTGGCCCAAGAACAGAAAAGTCCTAAAGCTCAGAGAGCATGAGCTGCTCTCACACACAGGTCCCCAGGCACCTCCGCGCAGGGGTAGCAAGAGCAGAGAGAGGAGACAGCAACAGGGCCTCTAGGAACCGAAACTGAGAGAAAGAGACAACCCTCCCCATTCTGTGAGCCTTCAAATAGCTGTACATGCATTTCGTTCAGGCTTTAGAGCTGTGCTCAGTAGGAGAAAGTTAGGTTGGTACATTTTACCCGCCTCTTGCTGGGAGCCAGAACCTCACAGTGTAGGTGTAATTTGCATTTTAAAGAAGGAAGTTATCTTTTTTAGAAGAGAAGGCTCAGGGTGAGAGTGCATAATAGTTTCCTTGAACCCTGCAAAGGATTCCTAGTGAGAAAGGGTGGGGGTGTGTGGGGCCGGATGCCATGGGGCTGAGCTGGTGCTCTTTGGGTGTTGTAGGCACCATGGCAGAGGAAACAGCACCAGCAGTTCTTGAGCGACGCCAAGGCTCCCTGTACTCCCTCTTTCCTGACCACCGTGTAAAGAAGTACTTTGACCAGGTGGATATCTCCAATGGCTTGGATTGGTCCCTAGACCACAAAATCTTCTATTACATTGACAGCCTGTCTTACTCCGTGGATGCCTTTGACTACAACCTGCAGACGGGACAGATCTGTATGTACCTTTTCTTTATTTTTCTCAGTCCTGCTGATATGGTTTTCATATATTTGTGACTAGTGAGGTACCTCAACCCATGTAAAGAGGCCCTTATTTGTCAGAGAGAGCTTTCCGATACTGCTATTCCAGTATAATGATGATTACACAGACGACCAAGGTGTCAGCAAGACCATGACCCTCAACACAATTAAAATATGGTCATTAGGGCTGGAGGTGTGGCTCGGTCATATAGTGCTTGCCCAGCATGTGTGAGGCCCTGGGTTCCACCCACAGCACCCCCTGCCCAAATGTATAAATGGCTATACTGGCCTAATATGGGGAAACCCTTAATCCTCTTTCCTGCCACCATCACCAGAAAAAAGCCTCATTGGAAAAGGGGTCCTATTCCACAGGAAGATGCTAAAGGCAAATAATATACAACCAAATGTGACAAAGGAATTAGTAGAGTTTTGGCTTCTGTTTCTTATTTATATTTTATTAACCAGAGGCAAGTACTCAGAGGCAAATGAACAACCTCTGAAAATGCAAAAGTAGAAAGAGTACTTACAGGCTGGCTCAGTTCCATCGATGTGCTGTAAATGAGCCGAAGTTGGAAACTGGGAGGGAAGGAATTATTTAAAAGAATTTAGAAGGGAGTCCTGGAAATAGTTTGACGAAGGGTACCAGACCAAGAGAGCAAAACCAATCATAAAATGACTTGGAAAAAAATCACAAGACTCTCCATGTAGATTTAATCAGAGGTAAAATATTCTGGTACAGATGTTTTGCTTTGAAATATGTACTGCTCTTTTTATATGGTTCTTCTTACCCATTTTCCTTGCACGTGGTTTTAACATTTTTTTCATTGTACCTCAATCTGATTACTGTAGTGACCTGAATTTTGTTCCTCTGATTGTTTTTTTGCAACCCAGGACCTCACACATGCTAAGCATGCCCTCTACCACTGAGTTACAACCTCAGCCCTCCTTCAACTTTTGAAGTTTTCTGTTTACTGTGATCCCCATTAACCTCCCCATGAGTTTTAGAATGCCCCTTCTTGCAGAAGCAAGCTCTTCCACTATTTGGTCTTGACTTTGCAGCATTTAGTCAAGCAGAAAGAAAACCCATATGTCTTCCCAGGTTTTGTGCATACACTGTTCACATGGTGTCACTAAGTTGCCTGTAGATACCAAGTGCCAGTAGCTCCTTGGGAGGCTGCAATCAGGATTGTGGTTCCAGGACAGCCCAGGCAAATAGTTCACAAGATCCCATCTCCAAAAAAATTAACCAGCGCAAAATGGACTGGAGGTGTGGCTCAAGTGACAGAGCACATGCTTTGCAAGTGCGAAGCCCTGAGTTCAGCCCCCAATCCCACCAAAAAAAAAAGCTGCCAGTAGATCTTGGGCTTGGGCTTAATCAAAGTAGGTATTTTTGTACTGAAGAGTGGCTGAGAGGGGCCTGCAGAGCCTCAGTTCAGGTCAGCCTCAAAGAGCTCCCTAGTGGCACTTTATTAACAACTCTGTTTTGTGGGGCTCAGGGGCAGAGCACTTGCCTCACAGGCATAAGGTGCTAGGTTCCCTCTGCAGTACCACACAAAAAGAGCTTTTTCTCCTCCTCTGAAAGCTGAGACCCGTATGTCTGTACCAAAACAAAAGGGGAGTCCATCTCAAATCATGCGGCAAAAGTGCTTTGTTCAAATGCCAGACGCTGGGCGGGCAGAAGTGATCAGTATTTATAATTGGCTTGCGAGCTTTCTGTCTGAGTGTCAGTATTATTGAGTGGCGTGCTGTCTCGTTGTGTTTTGGGTTTTGTTTTTAACCACAGCCAACCGCAGAAGTGTTTACAAGCTGGAGAAGGATGAACAAATCCCAGACGGAATGTGTATTGATGCTGAGGGAAAGCTTTGGGTGGCCTGTTACAATGGAGGAAGAGTGATTCGGTTAGACCCTGAGACAGGTAGGCCCACAGCAAAGTGAAAACCCCTGCCAAGCCTAGAAAACCCATGCCATAGGCTACACACCGAGGACACTCATTGCTAAGAAAGTCAGCGAGGCGTTCAGTGGTCTCAATTGGAAATAAAGGCCAAAGATACAGCCCAGAATTTCTAATCAGAGCTTTTCCTGTGGCGGGAAATCTGTTCTCAAAACTGTCAGGGAAGAAAAAACTGGCAGGGAAGAGAAGTTGAACATGTGGAGAATTCTGACCTCCATCCATCGTCTCCTTGCAACCTCTCGATTAAGCCAGAGTCTAGAAACATTGCACAGGTTGAAAATTGTCAGAACTGAACTTCGAGTAACTTCAGTATTGGGTGATTCAGGAAAACGGCTCCAAACCGTGAAGTTACCTGTGGATAAAACAACTTCATGCTGCTTCGGAGGGAAGGACTACTCTGAAATGTATGTGACCTGTGCCCGGGACGGGTTGGATGCCGAGGCTCTTCTGAGGCAACCGGAAGCTGGTGGAATTTTCAAGGTGAGGTGGGGTGGAGGACCTTCTGCTGAGTGATTAGTGCGTTTTCATGCTTCTAAAATCTAATTCTATTCAGCATGTGAAGTTTATGATGCTATGAAGATTTTCTAGACTAGAGGTTTTGTGAAGTCCACGGTGTGTCTAATGTACTTTGTACAGTATTTTTTAATAGCTTTGTGCTTTAGTAATATTTGTTGAAATTCTTCACATTAGTATAATGAGCTTGGAAAATCAGTGTTTGGCTGGGAATATAGCTCGGGTAGAATGCTTGCCTAGCATGCCCAAAGCTCTGGGTTCAATCCCCCACACTGCAAAAAAAAAAAAAAAAAGAAAAGAAAAAAGAGAGAAAGAAAATGAAAATCAGTGTTTGAAGTATTTTTATAAGCTCACCTGATTGCTTGGATATCATAGAAAATGTTTTCAGATTTCGAACAACTTTTTGCAACAGAACAAACACTGATAAAAATCATAAACCTTTTGAGCCAAAAAGAAATGTAGAAATACCAGGTGTGGTGGTACGTGCCTGTAATCTCAGCAGTCGGGAGGCTGAGGCAGAAGGATCACAAGTTTAAAGCCAGCCTAGGTCTTGAAAAGAGAAGAAAAGAGAAAATAGAAAAGAACTATAGAACCATAGAAACCTTTTCCTTTGCAAATGGGAAGATGATAGAAATAAATTTAGTTTTAAAGTCACATTACTTGTAAGTAGTTGCTAGTTGGACTATACTTACACTCTATGTGAGTATATGTGAGTATATGCCTAATCAAGTAATTGATTTTTTGGCACTGCTGGGGTTTGAACTTAGGCTTCTGCACTTGTTGGCATGGGCTCTACCGCTTGAGCCACGCCTCCAGTCCTCAGGGAATTTTTTTTTTTGGAGTCACTGGGGTTTGAACCCAGGGCCTCACGCTTGCTAGGCAGGTGCTCTACGACTTGAGCCATCAGCCAGCCCAGGAATTCATTCTTATGATAGGAGATAAAACAGGAGTTGGAGATGACTAAATACATTATTACAAATCCTAACAATGCTTTTTAGTTGCATTTCTTAATTTTTTCACATTTTATTAGCGTACATTAATTGTACAGTGTGGGGGATTTCATTAAGATATTTCCATATTAAACTTTGAACATATTCACCCCCTCTACTACACTTTCTTATCCCCCTTCCCCACCCCTTACGGCAATACTTTTGAATACTTACATATTTCCTTTTGTCAGAGTTTCTCCCTTCTCTTTTTTCAACAGATAACTGGCCTGGGGGTCAAGGGACTTGCACCCCACCCCTATGCAGGGTGAGCAACAGGTCTTCCTTCCAGCCAAAGAAAACTTTGAAGACAACTAGAGAATTCTGGAACTGAATTCAATGAAATTTCAATGTAGTTTTTAAAATGAAGCAATTCCATTAGTAACAGAGCTAATTTTTAATTTATAATTTTTGGGGGTTAGTGAGGATTGAACCTAGGGCCTCGTGTGTGCTAAGCACATGTTCTCCCCTGAGTGACATCTCCAGCCATTCACAATTTTTAAAAGGTAGAGCATTTAGGCAGGGGATGACAGGCGGCTTTAATAACACACGCACTATAAGGCCTGGTGTAAAAGGCCCTGGAGAAATGCAGTTATTCAGGTGGCAGTCAGCCTGCTGTTTCTTTGCACATTTCAGGGTGTCAGAATAGGACCATGCCTGTTCGTTTTCAAACGCTAATGAGTAGAAACTTGGTAATGACTTATAATTATGTTCCTTCTTGTTCTCATTATAATCCTATAAAATCTACCATGATGCTAGCCTGCCTTGTTATTACTCTTTTTTTGTTGTTGCTTCTTATTGTTCTTCCTTACGTTATGTTATTTTACAAACTAAAGTACTGCAAGGGTAAGACTCAAACACTGGCAAAATCCATAGTTCCAACTGCCACCTACTGGACATAAAAGTAAATGTCACTTTGGAAAGGTTTTTTTTTTTAAGTAGTTTTATTGAGTTGTACTTAGCCTGATTTAAAGAGCACAACTTGACAAATTTTATATATATATATATATATATATATATATACATATATATAAATTCATGATACCAATATCACAAACAAAATAATGAATCTGTCTGCTGCCCCCAAACTTACTTTGTGTCCCATTGTAACCCTTTCCTTTGGCCCCTCAGCATGCCTGTCCCATCCCCAGGAAACCACTGATCAGCGGCTTTCTGTCACTATAACTGAGCCTTAAAATGGGATACTGTGCTGGGTGCCAGTGGCTCACAACTGTAATCCTAGCTACTTGGGAGGCAGAGATCAGGAGGTTTTTGGTTCGAGGCCATAGGCAAATTGTTCTCAAGACCCTATTTCAAAAATACCCATCACAAAACAGGGCTGGTGGAGTGGCTCAAGAAATAGAGCACCTGCCTAGCAAGGGTAAGGCCCTGAGTTCAAACCCCAGTGCTGCCAAAAAAAATGGAATACTGTGATTTCTCCACTTTGTTCTTTGTGGAAATAGTTTTAGCTATTTTAGTTAGTTTGGGCTTCAATTACATTTACTTTATTACTGTTAATTAGACGTTTTAGTGCTGGGGATTGAACACGAGGCCTTGCAACATGCTACTGGCCTACAGACCAGTCCCATTAAAACCTTTAAAATCAGCTCGACTATACAAAAACCCTTCTGTAATGTTAATTGGAATTGCTTAAAATCAGTGAAACCATTTGAGAGAATTGGAATGATTATTATTTTAAGTCTCCCAAACCATGGACATGTCTCTCCAATTATTTAGGGCTTCTTCTATTTGTTTCATTAGCATTTTGTAGGGTTTTTTTTTTAATATCAGAGTAAGGTTGGCTTTATAAAATGAATTGGAAGGTGTTATCTCCTCTTCTATTATCCAAAAAAGGAAGTGTACTATTATTGCTTCTTTTCTTTGTGGTACTGGAGTTTGAACTCAGGGCCTACATCTTGAGCCACTCCACTAGCCCTTTTTTTTTTTTTTTTTTTGT